CAACTCTGTTTAACATTTTGAGGAACTACTAAATAGTTTTCCAAAATGGTTACACACACCATTCTACAGCGCCAGGTCGAGTGATCTCCGTTCCCCAGTAGCCTGCGGGCACATGTACGATGCGAAGGGTCATGGGTTGTTCATGGTGTTTTCTTCGGGGGGGCAGGTGGTGCTGCTGCAGGTGGGCGGGGGCATGGGTTGTGTTCTGTCTACTTTACCACGAATTTTGTTTTTGTTTCTCTGTCCTTATGTTTTTCTTCTGTGTTTTAGTTGGTTTGTCGCTGTCTAATTTCTTTCTATTTTTCTAGTAGAGTGCAGCGGCAGGATTTTCACTCTGTGCTGATTCTGGTCTATAATCGGTTTCCTGACCCTTAAGACCCTCCTCTGCGCATGTCTTCTCCCAATGTTGAGTGCATGGATTCTTATCTAGGGTTGTTATGATCCACCTATCTGTCTATTTGCGTAACTAGTAATTATCTTCTTAGACTAGAGTCTGTTAAATGTCTTGTGTCTTTGCTGGATTTGTATGGACATTACTTTGCTGTTTAGAATTGTCACCAAATTAGCACAAGCGATCATCGATAGGATATTAGACTTGACGGCTTTGGGTCAAGTTAAATTTTTTGCCCTTGCCTCACAGGGCGATACACCATACTTACGGAAGCAGAGACTGGGCCGTAGGGGCGGTGGCTTCACCCCGGGGCGTGGACTGTAATCCCTAGCTCTCTGCACGGGAGGCCAAGCTGGGAGGGCATACTGGTCTGGACGTTCATGATTCAAAACCCAGCCTGCGAGCAAGAGCAAAGACGCCGTCGGTCGTACTATACAATACGTCGGGTCGGGGCGAAAGAAATTGATGCGCGATGGCCAACTGATTATAAAGCAGGGTTATATACAAAAAATTAGCCTGTGTGCATTGTGAGGCGGGTGGCACCACTGCCTGTAGTCCCAGCTACTCGGGAGGCTGAGGCAGGAGGATCGCTTGGAGCCCAGGAGATTGAGGTTGCTGTGAGCTAGGCTGACGCCATGGCATCACTCTATGCCTAGCAACAGAGCGACGACCCTGTCTCAAAAAAAAAAAAAAAAAACTAGAAGTGACAATATCACTTCAACCACCCCGCGAATGACTATGAATTTTTTAAACAAAATGGAAGAAAATGTTTTGAGGAGTGTGAAACGAACTTCTTACAATTGCTGGTCGGCCGCGCTG